TTTTAAAAGAGTTATCTTAATACACAGAAAATAACATATTTACACATTAACAGCATGTTTCACACTGTGCAACTTTCAAAATGAGAGTCATCCTAGGTATGACAACTATATCCAGCAGCAAGGCCTCTGATCAGAAGATTGAAGCTTCTGGGGAGTGAGGAATCACCTCTTAATTGCTGTTGTCCTCGAGGTCCACCCTGAACTTGGGTGGTAGCACCTATTAGGGTCTGGGTTATGGGCAAATAGTGAACCTCAAACAAAACACTATAAAAAAAAAAAAATATATATATATATATATATATATAGTACAAATACCAGCAATACATTTTTATATGTATAAAAAAATTACCAACAATACCTACTTGTAGTAAAAATACCAACATTGAATTTTATCTTTAGTTGAAGGCATGAAATTGTGTTCAAAATATTTAGATTTTGGCATTAAATAACCCATGGTAGTTGATATGCTGCTAAACAAAATCAACCATCCAATCAAAATATATATTTCTTTTTGGCACTTTTGAACTCTGGAATTCTTTTAAACCTTTTTTAATAGGAATGTGATATATATATATATATATATATATATAACTGGGGTTACTTCTTATTACTGTAAAAATTATTTTTAATGGGCACATATATTTGAGTTGTTTGTTTGAAAGATAGTTTTAATTAAGTTTTGCGTGGCAGTCTCCTGTGGCTAAATTCTAATGCCAAGCTTCAGCTATAGGATGGTAAAGGGAGATAATTGTTCAATTCTTGTTGATATGTACATTTTCTTTAGCAGGACATCAATCTAGGCTAGTTGATATTAATTTCACTGTTAAAGAAAATAAACAGATGTCAACTCAAACACATACTAAAATAACATTTATAGTAATAAGAAATATATAAACCTTTCCTACTGACATCTAAAATTAGCTGTAAGTCATAAAACTGAAAAAAAGTGTCAGCTTGTATTTTACGATCAAGAGCAAAAATAAGATATAGTAAAGCTAGTAATAATAGTAAAAATAACCTATAAAATAATAATGGTCTAGTGAGAATCAAAGAAAAAAAAGAAAAGTGGATTGATTTTTTATTTTTTTTAATTTTTTTTATTTTTTTTTTTATTGCTTATCAACATTTTTTAGAGCTGGGATATATTTTGGATTCTAGGAGGTCACCATTGTTTCCAATCAGTCTTCCGTCTAAGTAATGACCATGCTTGACAATAGAGTTAAGCAATTGTCAAGCATGGTCAAACAAACCAGAAAAATAAGTACAGATTGAGCTCGACTTTATACAACTTCCTTAACCAAAGTGATTAATTCAATATCCAGAAAAAAATTGGTTTCTGAGTTGTGAGTTCATCTTGTCACTAGCTATTTTTTTTTTTCAATTTCATACATTTGAAGAGTGTGTATATATATATATATATATATATGCAGAGCATCATGATAAAAAGCAACAATAAGATGGAGTAAAACTAACAATAATATAATTTCTGGGATGAGAAGTTATTATTTACATTTGGTCTATTGTCTACACCTTTGTTATCACAATGTTTTGGCTGTTATGCCCTTCATCAGGTGTACCTCTGTAGAGTAAATAAAAGGTTCAGTTTGGAATTTACTGGGGGTTACCCAGATAGATATATACATAAGATGATTGCCAGAGGGCATAATGGCTAAAACGTAATAACAAAGATGAGGACCATAGTCTGAATGGAAATAGTGTAAATAGTCATGTGTCATCTTGTATATATGGTTAGCATTTAAAGTGCTGAAATATCTGGTGTATACCACTATCAAATAGATACACATGCACAGGATATATATATATACAACTAAGTCTACTCTGCAGTTGTGCCAATGTGAGCACTCAACTAACAAATGTTTTACAAGAACAGTTTGCTACTTTTGAGTTTCCAATAGACAGCACAGAATGATTAGTCTTTTGGTGATAAAGAGACACCTGGAACATCTTTATTCAGTCAACTGCTTTTATTCATTTAGACTTCTACGACAAAGTACTTTATTTGAATATTTAATAAAAGAGGTGGCTGGAATAAGGCTGTCTTGGGTTGATTTTTCTCAAAAAATAAATAAATAAATAAATAAAATAAATAAATAAAAAAAATTAAATAAACAATAAAAAAAAATAATGAATAATTACTTGTCCTTGTCCATCTATTTAAAACTAAAAAGGTATTCATTCATCTGTAGCAGGTACTCACCAAATAAACTTTTTGTGTATTTGTCATTGTCAAAGTACATGGACCAGATGAACTTAATATCTGCATTAACAAAACTGATTACAAATATGACTAATGATACTAAAATTACTGTCACTACTTTTACCTTATTATCATTATCATTCTGACAAGCAACTGTCTAAAACCTAATTGAATAATCTTGACTACTAATGCAATAAATAGTACTTTTATTGCCATTACTTGGTTACCATTATGACTCTGTACTATCATTGTGTACAGGTACAATTTCTGGCAGGATGGCTTAGTTTGAACTTAGAATCAGAAAATCTGGCATCATTTGCCAAGTATCATGTCTCAATTCTCTTCTGCCAGGATTGGACCAATTCCCAAAACAACCTTTAATGAAGTGAAGGCCTATTAAGGTATAAGACCCTTAACTTGGCAAGAAATTGGTTATTTTCAATAATCAAGGGATAATACATGATTGTATTAGCCTCCATCTGTCATGGAACTTACAATGGATATAGCAGCCATTTTGTAACCGAATTTAGGCAAATAGTTGGGTGTTATTTGCTTATGTATTTCTCTCATTACAAAACTTCATTGAGATGAGCAATAAGAAAGTATATTCAAAATGAATATGTATCAAGTTTTGCCTGAAACCTGTATATTCATCTGTAGAAACTTTTTAAATGATTTAAGCCTTTAGTGATGATTTAATGAATGAAACCCAAATAAAATTTTGTTACCATTCAAAGTAATCCACATTCTGGAAGGCAATAAATAAATAAATAAATATAAAAATAAATAAACAGAGCCAAGTACATATAGGGGAGCTGAAAAGTTCTAAAAAACCCATTTCATTTTCTGAAATCTGGCCAAATGACCAGATTTTTTAAAATCCTTCCTTGGTTGTGCTGACAACTTTTCATCACCTTTCTTGTATATAAATAAACATTTTTGATATATTTGTTGACCAGTCTTTTTTCATGAGTTTTCTAATAAGGCTTGAGTTTTCAAGACTATTTTTAAGTGCAGTAGCAATCCTGCTAAACAGGATGCTAATTTCAAATTTGTACATTATCATCATAGTGAGTCATCATATCATTTTTATTAAAAAAAAAAAAAAAAATATTGATGTTTAAGTTAGTTGGCTTTCATTGATTGGTTGATTGATTTTACATCATTTTGACCTTTATTAAGTTATTTAATGTTGAATCTTGTATGTTGCACCCAGTGAAGATCAAACTCATGGCTCTTAGTATACTTACTAATGATTAACCTACATTGAGATATTTGGTGTAAAACTTTTGGTTGCCTGATGAGAGGCAGGTAATATAAATGTAAAAGTTAAAAAATTGTATGCAGATTAACAAGTTGTTGTTAGGTATTAAAAAAAAAAAAAAACTAAAGTAAAAGAGTTTTATACATGAATGAGCTTGTGAAAATGAATAGCTGAAGAATTGGAAACGGAGGAGAGAGAGAGGAGGAATCATGGAATCATGGAGAGAGAGAGAGAGAGAGAGAGAGAATCAATCACGGAGGAGAGAGAGAATCACGGAGGAGAGAGAGAGAGAGAGAGGAATCACGGAGAGAGAGAGAGAGGAATCACGAGAGAGAGAGAGAGAGAATTGGAATCACGGAGGAGAGAGAGAGAGAGAATTGAATCACTTGGAGGAGAGAGAGAGAGAGAGAGAGAATCAACTGGAGGAGAGAGAGAGAGAGAATTGAATCATTTGGGAGAGAGAGAGAGAGAGAATTGGAATCAATGAGGGAGGAGAGAGAGAGAGAGAATTGAATCAGGAGAGAGAGAGAGAGAGAGAGAATTGGAATCAGAGGAGAGAGAGAGAGAGAATTGAATCACGGAGGAGAGAGAGAGAGAGAATTGAATCACGGAGGAGAGAGAGAGAGAGAGAATTGGAATCACGGAGGAGAGAGAGAGAGAGAGAGAATTGAATCACGGAGGAGAGAGAGAGAGAAATTGAACCACGGAGGAGAGAGAGAGAGAGAGAATTGGAATCACGGAGGAGAGAGAGAGAGAGAAATTGAATCACGGAGGAGAGAGAGAGAGAGAGAATTGAATCAGAGAGGAGAGAGAGAATTGAATCACGGAGAGAGAGAGAGAATTGAAATCACTGGAGGAGAGAGAGAGAATTGGAATCACGGAGGAGAGAGAGAGAATTGAATCACGGAGGAGAGAGAGAGAGAGAGAGAGAGAGAATTGGAATCAGGAGAGGAGAGAGAGAGAGAGAGAGAGAGAGAATTGGAATCACGGAGGAGAGAGAGAGAGAGAGAGAGAATTGGAATTGAATCACGGAGGAGAGAGAGAGAGAGAGAGAGAGAGAGAATTGGAATCACGGAGGAGAGAGAGAGAGAGAGAGAATTGAGAGAGAGAATTGAATCACTTGAGGAGAGAGAGAGAGAGAGAGAGAATTGAATCACGGAGGAGAGAGAGAGAGAGAGAAATGGAATCACTTGGAGGAGAGAGAGAGAGAGAATTGGAGAGAGAGAGAGAGAGATCACGGAGGAGAGAGAGAGAGAGAGAATTGAATCACGGAGGAGAGAGAGAGAGAGAGAATTGGAATCACGGAGGAGAGAGAGAGAGAGAGAATTGGAATCACGGAGGAGAGAGAGAGAGAGAGAATTGGAATCACGAGAGAGAGAGAGAGAGAGAGAATTGGAATCACGGAGAGAGAGAGAGAGAGAATTGGAATCAATGGAGGAGAGAGAGAGAGAGAATTGGAATCACGGAGGAGAGAGAGAGAGAATTGGAATCACGGAGGAGAGAGAGAGAGAATGGGAATCACGGAGTAGAGAGAGAGAGAATTGGAATCACGGAGGAGAGAGAGAGAGAGAGAATTGAATCAATGGAGGAGAGAGAGAGAGAGAGAATTGAATCACTTGGAGAGAGAGAGAGAGAGAGGAATTGAACTCACGGAGGAGAGAGAGAGAGAGAGAGAGAGAGAGAGAATTAACTCACGGAGGAGAGAGAGAGAGAGAGAAAATTGGAATCAGGAGGAGAGAGAGAGAGAATTGGAATCACGGAGGAGAGAGAGAGAGAGAGAATTGAATCACGGAGAGAGAGAGAGAGAGAATTGGAATCACGGAGGAGAGAGAGAGAGAGAGAGAATTGGAATCACGGAGGAGAGAGAGAGAGAGAGAATTGAATCACTTGAGGAGAGAGAGAGAGAGAGAATTGGAATCACGGAGGAGAGAGAGAGAGAGAGAATTGGAATCACGGAGGAGAGAGAGAGAGAGAGAATTGGAATCACGGAGGAGAGAGAGAGAGAGAGAGAATTGGAATCACGGAGGAGAGAGAGAGAGAGAGAGAATTGGAATCACGGAGGAGAGAGAGAGAGAGAGAATTGGAATCATTTGAGGGGAGAGAGAGAGAGAGAATTGGAAATCACGGGAGAGAGAGAGAGAGAATTGAACTAATGGAGGAGAGAGAGAGAGAATTGAATCACGGAGGAGAGAGAGAGAGAGAGAATTGGAATCACGGAGGAGAGAGAGAGAGAATTGGAAGAGAGAGAATGGAATCAATGGGAGGAGAGAGAGAGAGAATTGGAAACGGAGGAGAGAGAGAGAGAGAGAATTGGAATCACGGAGGAGAGAGAGAGAATTGAAAACGCACGGAGAGAGAGAGAGAATTGGAATCACGGAGGAGAGAGAGAGAGAATTGGAAACACTTGGAGAGAGAGAGAGAATTGAATCACGGAGGAGAGAGAGAGAATTGGAATCACGGAGGAGAGAGAATTGGAATTTAACGAGGAGAGAGAGAGAGAGAGAGAATTGAATCGAGAGAGAGAGAGAGAGAGAATTGAATCACGGAGGAGAGAGAGAGAGAGAATTGAAACACGGAGGAGAGAGAGAGAGAGAATTGAAACGGAGGAGAGAGAGAGAGAGAGAATTGGAAACGGAGGAGAGAGAGAGAGAGAGAATTGGAAACGCAGGAGAGAGAGAGAGAGAGAATTGGAAACGCAGGAGAGAGAGAGAATTGGAAACGGAGGAGAGAGAGAGAATTGGAAACGGAGGAGAGAGAGAGAATTGGAAACGGAGGAGAGAGAGAGAAGTGGAAACGGAGGAGAGAGAGAGAAGTGGAAACGGAGGAGAGAGAGAGAGGGACAGAGAAGTGGAAACGGCAGAGAGACATGAGAAGTGAAAGAGAAAGAGAGTGACATGTGGGAAGCAAGAGAGAAAATGTATGGGCAAAAGGCAAAAAATTAGATCCCCATTTTCAAGGTAGGACAGTTGGTAGAAAATATTTTTGCATCCCTGGCCATCAGTACATTTGTATACTTATAAAATATTTCTCTTGCCATATAGGTAGATTTTACAAGTTACACTATCCACTCTGATGCCATCATTCTTCAAAATTCCCTTTAGTGACAGATTCTTTTCAGTTGTTGATGAAAAGAACATTTTGTCTAGGACGTGATAGGTTTCCTGGTTTTCGCCAGTGTCATTTTTTGATTTGCACTGCACCAACATTGTTCCATTCTTGTGATTTATTTATAGCTTGTATTTTTTTTTCTTTTGATAAACCAGCCATTTAAATTACTATTGAATTATGCAGGGAACAAACAACAAAATAATTTATGAAGCCATAAACACAAAATAGCATAAGTAAATGTTTTTAAACAGATAAATTTCAAATATTCAAGTATCCATTTAAAAACAGTAGCAGGTTTACAGCCATGTTACATTGAAATACCAGTTCTTGTATGATCAACATCTGGTCAGTACCTAGATGTATGACTGTTTGGGAATACCAGGGGCTTTAAGTTTGGACGTGTGGGTGGTGTGATGGATAATGGCTCTGAATTGGAATTTGGAGAGCTGAGTTCCAATTACAGTTGGGTTCATTATATTCACATGTGTAAATACCCTTGGGAAAGGTATGAATCCATCTCTTCTCCCTCCAGCTATGAGTTAATTAGTAGGACCTTTATCAGCAAATCATTATTTTCAAAAAATTTTTACAATGTAAAAATATTTTCTGGCTTTAAATAACCTGCAAAAGGTTGATAAGCCATAAAATGAATAATCAATACTAACAATAGATTTATCTTATGTAGTGTGAAATCATATTGTGTCAGTCACCCTAGGAGGGGAGTTTTTGACTGATTAAAATATATGGCTGCATTCAAAGTTCTTTAGTGCTTGAACAAATACCACAAGGATTAGTAGGGAAATATGTGATCATTTTATCCACTGAACAGTTACCAATTCCAACAATATATATTTCATCAATTTTGCAGGCCCAAAACTATAGTCATTTCCCTACAAGGTAATATCTAGCATTCATTGACTGAGCAGCTAGTACTGCTTTTGACTAAAATTTATAAAATCTCTCGTGATATGTAAATTAGATTCTTTATAAAAGGCAGTATCGGTATATCTCCTGGAGAGTTATCTATGTCTGGCATCAAGTCGTCTGATCAGGAGATTGGAGGTTTTGAGGAACATGGAATCAACTCTTAGTTGCTGGCACTCAGAGTGGCAGCATCTGTTAGGATCCCAGCTATAGAAAAATAATGAATTCCCAAACAATAGGAAAACACTATGAAGGTATAAAAATAATTTTTTAATATAAAAAAAAATGTATCAACACTGCCTCTTTATATAATAAAATGACCGATTAATTTGGACATGGTACTTCTGCAGATTTCTTTATCAAAGAGAAACCTATCTACTTAAAATATTAAAAACTAGTGTAAATAATAAAATCATTATAAATATAAATGATTTCATTATTGTTATAACCTAGAAATGGTTACTGAATGAGGAATAGACAAAATGAAGGTTAGAAATGGAATGGTAATCTTTATAACATCAACAAAATGCAATACTCGCCAGCGGCATGAAGTAGGTAAACCACTGCTAGTGGTGAACTACTTAGACAGCATATTACCTCCACTTACAATAGTGTCCAATGTATTTATGAGGATTGGGACATACACATTAGTGTTCATAGGTACGGTGTATAATTATATAGCAATCTTTCTTTTGCCCTGGATAGAAATAACTGGAGATATTTGCACCAGAGTGGTATCATAAATTTTGAAATCAGTCATATTAATCAGCTAAGTGATGAAAGTCAACAGCAAAAAGCATCAGCAAATATTCCTGTTGTTATGTCCTATGATCCTTGCTGTTGCACAATATGTGGGCTTGTATGCAGGTCACTAGCAGGGCTGAAGTGTTACATATGGCACAAACATAAAAATTGAATGTGGTTGTTGGATTTTCATACTTTGAAATCAACAGGAGAGTCCATCATATATAAATAAAATGATTTCATTATATAACAATCTTTCTTTTACCCATGTTTCATTGCATATGATGGATAAAGAAAATTTATATATATTTTTTAATTTTAGTTTTTCTAATGTTCTTAGTTTTTCTTTTATAGGGACTGAACATCTAGAAATGGTCTATAGGGATTATTGTCCCAAGCACTTTTGGCCAATTCATTACCCATTTTCAAGAAGTCCATTGTTGGTATAATTTCCTGTGTTTATATTCTTAGTTGTATTGTTGAGAATTCACACTAATTTTATGTTTGTGAGTGAAACAGGGTAGATGGAACTGCCCAGAAGCCATTGGTAGTTTTCTAACATTAAGTCACAATTCATTGTGAATGAGAGTTTGAAAATACCAGCCTTTTCCAAACTATTGATAACATCAAATTACATGCTCTCTCTCAGAAACTAATGTCTGTTCAGCATTGTCAGCTCTGTGGGTGTTGAACAAACACAAATGTGTCTGAGCAGATGTCTGTAACAGGATTGGCTAGCCACCCTAACAAATGGGTGTGCTTGGAAATGAGTAACTGGCCATTATGGTGTTGTAATCATTGTAAATTGGTTCATTTGGATTAATTTGCATTTTAATGTGGAACCTTTCAGCATTCCCTTAAATGTCTGTTTTTGAAATATCCAACCATAATTTCCAAGGATTTTAAAATTGGTTTTTATATCATTTTTCACTTTAATCCTGATTTAACAACCAAAATTAAGAACAACACATATCCTAAAAAGATTATTAACAAACAGGCAAATCTGTCTATATTTCTGAGATGAGGTATTATAACTATTTACACTGTTCTGAATTGTCCTCATCTTTATTGCCATATCCATGACATTTCAGCTGTTTCACCTGAAGAAAGCTGGAGTATTCCAGCCTTCTTCAGGTGATGTTAGTTGGAATTTCAGATTTATTACATCCACATATGCACAAATACCCATGACAAATGTACCAAACCATCTCCCCCAGCTATGGATTAAATAGGACTTGTATCTATTAAAAAGAAAAAAGAAAAAAAAAAGTTAATATTCACTCAGAAAAAAAATTTTTTTTTACAATCCCAAAAGGTTAAATAACCAATAAAGAGGTGATTAGCTGTTAAAACAAAAAATATCAATCAAAATATATAAGTAAATATTGAACAGCTTAAACATTTCATATTTTTGGTTGAATTATTGAGGAAATAATTAAAATATTATTGATTATAATTATTATTTTTTTTTAAATAAAGCGAAAAAGAAAAAAGTGCAACAACAAAAATTCACATTTTGTATTTAAGCAGAGGAACATGAAATCTATCTCGAATAATGTTAAATACCATAATGAAAATTCATGAACACAATATAGGCACACACATATACACATTACTATGTGTATGCACATGCACACATTTTCTTTTTCTTATATATATGAACACACCTGCTCACTTACTGACTTTAAATATCTAAGTTTACAGCAGCATGTAAATTATGTGGTCGGAAATATCAATTTAAGATTAACTGGCTGAGAATGAACAAATTTAGAATTAAATTTGTTCGTGGCATACTAGGTGGGTGGGAGATTTGCAAAAGTAGTGAAACCGTTTTAACAAATGTTACTAATTATATTACTTTGCTACGATAAAAATACAATGCTACCTACATGACTAAAAAGGAGACTTTTTTTTTATCTTAAAGGAATGTGTGTAATAATGAGATGCTATCTGATTGAATTAGGAGTATAATTTTTTTTCTTTTACAAAAGGTCATCTGTTATTTTCTGAAGATATCAATAAATATTATAATATTAGTAAATTTCCACTACTTTATTCATTGCCATTAATATCACTAAGAAAAAAAGACCAAAACCTGGCTTCTTCATTGTGTGTGTGTGTGTGTGTGAGAGAAATATTTTACAAACACTTTCTTAGTTATCAATCTACTATTCAAATCAATTTTCAGTCATTACCTTGGTGTTTATAATTTTATCCTGTAAAAAAAAAAAAAAAAAAAAAAATAACCAACAATGTTTATAAATAATTCAACCCAATCCCCACTTTTCAGCCTTGACAAAACTTAATTTTTTATTTTTTTTTATTTTTACACATGGCCTTGTGGTAGGGTGAGCTGACTTATTTCCCCCCCTACACCCTCTTTCTTTGCAAATGCAATATCATAAGACTGTCGTTATTCTAATAGTAAATGTTCTGATCAACTATCATTTAGTTTCAGCTGTTCAGACCTATACAGTTCCATAAAAACTGCTACTTTGTGGAACATACTCCTATATGATGATCCCCCAATTTCAGGATCAATTGTTATCTATCCTCCATATCCTCATAATGTTAACTTATTCCCTCTTACATCCATACTACTTACCTCTGAAAATGTCCTTAAAGTGTTGGTTCATGAATTTGATGACATAGTAATTGTGAGTTCATTCTCTGGATTGGGCAGTGTGTACTTGAGTAGAAATGAAGTGAAAAATAACTGAGCAGTATTAAAATAAAAACTAGACAATCTACCTTCTTATAGATTAAATAAAGTGTTTTTCAAAATTCCCTAAAGTTTACCAGATTGACATATACCTGAGGAAAGTCAAAGGGCACAACAGCCAAAATGTTATGATGCCAACAACAAAGATGAAGAAAATAGTTTACAAGTAAATAATGTGAATAATGATAACTCTTCCTTGCAGAAATTCAAGCAGATACCACTTACCTCATTCAGTAACCCTCTACTTTGAATAGCTTAGTTAATGTGTTGACTGTCAAGGTCAATTACAAAATATAACTTCAAATGCCAAATTTATAATAGCCAACAAAGTTGCATAATATCAGTCCACAAATAGGCAATAAAAAAATTGCATTGACACACAGCTTCAACTGAAGTTT